AGGCAAGGTGCCAGCAACCAGCAGTGTTTTTCCCACCATGCTGTCTAAACTTGCTCAGAGCAGGATTATACGGTGCTGTGTTTCAAAGAGCTGCTCAGAGCCCGATCTGTTTTGGTACCCTTGTGCTGCTGCAGTTAGCGGAACAGCTAGTGAAAATATGAAGGTTTTTCAGCTTGAAAACAAGTAGAAAAATTAAAAAGCTTTCTTGGAAATACTCTTCACAGAAAGACCTTTCACTGTGTTTATTTTTCTTACTCTTGTTAGACAGTTTTAGAACTTTATGGCTATGCCAGCGCTTGAACCTGCCTGCCCTCAATCCATCTCTGAGATTTTTAGGAGCTATAGAAAGCCCAAGGTATGGCCGTCTTTCAGCATCATATCTAGATCATGCGTTCTCTGCACAGAGGTGCCCGTGTATTCCCAAGACTTATTGACCCCTTTCAGCCATCCCAAAAACAGAATGACAAAGCAGATCAGGGAAATGCAGTTCTTAGCATCTATCTCTGGCAGCTGTACACCACCTGAAAATTTGGTGGTTTGTGTAAATTGGAAGCAATACATGTTAACTGCAATGCAGTATGTGATGCATGAAAAAAACTGTGTGCCTTTTACCTACAACTTTTCACCCTAAGCTTTCCTTAGCATCCCTATGATTTACCTGCTGGCATTATATGCTGAAATGATTTAAACATGCTTGGCTCTGTACACAGCTCTGTGCATAGTCTTCTCCAGACAATTTTAACATATATTTCCTTAGGTGCATAATTCTAGTAAGTACGCTGTAGCCAGACTGAACTAAAAAAAAGAAACGTCTCTAACCATATATAAAAAAGAAAATAAAAAAGTTGATTGAGAATTTTGGAAATTTAGTGAAAACACGTCTGAGACCTGTTCAGTGAAACAGATGCAAACAATGAGCTATACTGTTTGTGGGAGAGCAGATTCTTCATTTGACAGATGGACTTGTTAATGCTAGTATTTATTTATAATACATTGAATTAAGTACCATGATGAAGGAATATATTTTTACTTGCTGCTTTTTTTATTAAAAAAACCCTTTTTTTTTGGCTTTTTATGGTCTGGAATAAACCTTCTGACATTGTCAGAGGACAG